TTTCTGCAGCTCTGAGGCGCCGATGAGCCGCCTTTGCGGGCAGGAGCTCTGCGGGAGGGTTGGTCGACTTTGGCCATCAATAGTCAACTGGTCACAGGAGCCTTTGGCCATGTGGCAGCAGGGAGTCACAGTGGGAACAAGGGTCACTGGGATGGCTGCGGTGTCCCCTGCATTTCCCAGGGTGGCTGGAGCGGGGCGGGAGGTTGGGATGTGGCTCAGGGACTGCTCACACGATGGCAGCATCGCAGCGGGGATACAGCGGGGACACGCCAACGTGCAAGAGGGATGCAGCAGGGACACGGCCAACACTCAGGAGGGATGCAGCAGGGATGCAGTGGTGGAAATGGCCAACATGCAAGAGGGATACAGCGGGGACATGGCCAACACGCAAGAGGCATACAGCGGGGACATGGCCAACATGCATGTGGGACACAGCAGGGGACGCAGTAGGGATATGGCCAACATGAAAGAAGGACACAGCAGGGACATGAGCAACGTGTGAGAGACACAGCAGGGACACAGTGGGGATATGGCCAACATGCAAGGGGGACACAGAAAGGACACAGCAGGGACATGGCCAACATGCAAGAGGGACGCAGAGGGGACACAGTGGGGACATGGCCAACACGTGAGAGGGACACAGTGGGGACATGGCCAACATGCAAGGGGGACACAGCAGCCATGCAGCATGACCAGGCTCCTGCAGCCCTGGTATCCGTGTCCTCCCCGCTGCCGGGGAAACGCAGGTTGGGGAGGGATGAAGCCACCAAGGTGCCACCCTTCAGCCCAGGACATCACCCATAAACCACAGGGAACAAGCCCCCTCCACTCACCCCGGCTCCAGTGCAGAAGACATCACCCATTCCCCTCCCCAGGGACAGGCGATGGCCCAGGACACCCTGTGCAGTCCCCAGGACACCAGGCACAGTCCCCAGGACACAGGGACAGGCATCTGCTACAACCAGCACACGACAGGAACCACACTGGGACCAAGGTCACCCCCACAGCTCTGTCACCCTCCCAGCTGCCAAAAGCACCCAGAGCTTTTAAAACCACAGCGGGGGTGGGCGAGGACCCGCACCCCCATGCTGCCAGCCAAGGCCAGAAACAAACATCTGCAGGGAACGGCTCCAAGCACAGCAAACCCCATCGCGCTCTGCGCCCGGCTTATCTCCGCCGCTCACAATAGCAACCTGTTAATGCAACATTTAATTCCCATTAATACTGAATTACAGCTGCAGGTGACAGAGCTGGCAGCCGGCTGGCTTCTAGTTATTTTATTTATTTTATTTATTTTTTCCTGGTTTTGTTTGGGGTTTTTTTGCACAAACTCTCCCCGTTTCAGACTGTGGTGGCTCTTACCTGCTCTGCCGCTGCTCACAAACCCAGAAGGATGACTCTGTTTAAAAAAAAAACAAAGAAAAAAGTTCATCTCTTCATCTATACTCTCATTATGGGTTTAAAACCCAAAACACACCAGAAAATCACTGCAGGTCTGGTCTGAAATGGTTGGGGTGGGTTTTTTTGGACACACAAGCCACGTGCCTGCATCAGTCCTTGCCTCCGGCACAACCATCCTGTGCTTCGCTCCAGCCTGCAAACACAACCATCAACCCCAAACCAGTGTCAGGCCCCACTGGAGGCGCTGGTATCACCCTACAAGTGACAAACACCATCTGTAAATTATTAATAATAGTTTATCCATCTGTAAATTAATAATAATTTATCCAGCTGCAAATTATTAACAATGATTTCTCCACTAGCAAATATCAGAGCAGGAAAACTTCTCATTTCTCTGTCCCATCTGCTTTTCTTGCCATTACACTTTCCCCATCCAAGGGGGACAGCTGGTTGTTCCCCACATTCCCTTATCTTTACTTACCTTAAATCCTTATTTTTTATGGATTCACGGACAACACCAGCTTCCCAGCAGCACCATCGTGTCCTGGTACAAGCGATCGGCCGGTCCAGGGACGCTGCTTTCTCCTGCATCCCCCCAAGGACCCCCAATTCCCAGGGCAGACAGAGCAGGGGTGACATTCACCTACGTGCCACCACCAGCATCAGCCCAGGATCTCCAGCAATTAAATGACATGGAGTTCATCCGTACTTTAAAATAAGCTTTATTTAGATCTTTTATAATTTTATATTTGCATCCATGCCTTCAAGGATTCTCCCCCCCACTCACGTGGGGAAAAGTTAAATCTAACGTTACCCATAATTCATATGCTATTTATCGCAGTTCTCTTTTAAATAAATCATCCTCTTAGTAATTTTTTAGAATTATTTCCTAATTTACAAAAAAAAAAAAAAAAAAAGCTGAAATGCAAAGGAAACTACTTGATAACAAGGAGATTGCTCATCTGTTCCGGTGCTTTATAGTTTAAATTATAAAAACACAAGGAGAACAAAAAAAAAAAAAAAAATTAAAATTATTTTCCCAAAAAAACCCCCAA